ACCCAGCACTGGGTTGTATTTAACCCAGCATTTTTTAGAGTGTACCTTTCACATACTCCTGATTAAAAATATAATGTATAATCCATAAGTGTAGGTATAACATGTTTGAACTCTCTCCCATTTACATTTGTGTATTTGAGAGACGCTCACATGATTTAGATTAATACATATTAGTATACATATATAATACATATTAGTAAAGAAGTTTTAAGTAAAAATGTTTCACCTTCAAAGTCAACAGGAAATCAAAACTGAAATGTATTTCTTAATGCACCACATTTCTTGTCTTACTCTGCATGATTCACTGATGCGTGTTATTCCTATTAAAATAATATGTTGCCTTATTTTTTTGGGGTTTTCCCCCCTTTGACACTACTTCCTTTTTTATAAAACACTTTTAATTTTAATCCTTTTCCCTTCAATCACCTGACTCCATTCACGTGGGCAATGCTCTCATCATGGTCCAATCAACTGCTTATGGATAAAACCAACCTCTACATTTTTGAGAAACACTGAATATGTTTCTTTCGCTTGGAAAAATGCCAATTACGGAATAAATTTGGTTGCATGGAGCATTTCATGTTCACTAGCTATGCTGCTTCACAGCCACATGCATGCCAGATACTAAAACGAACAGATCGTATCAAGAATTTAATTTTTTATTTGAATGTACTATGTCATTGTCATTTTTGATATATGAAAGAAGTGTGTTATGCAAGAAGGAAATGCTGCATTAAACATTGAAGTGCTATTAATCTTGTTCTCTTTCTGTCTTTCAGGTGTTTTGTTTTAGAAGTACAGCAATACCACACAACACAAAGGCAGTTTTGTTGAAGGACTTTTAATGGACGTCAAAGAGAGGTGCTGCCAAGGCATGCAGAAAGAATACTTTGGCCCATGACAACATTTCCAGTCATCATAGTGGTAAAACTCACTGAAATGCCTGGTTGAGCCTTGTATGTTGTTTCTGCTCTTATTGACTTCTGATGAGAGAATGGCTTCCAATTGTTGGATGCCGAATGAATCTCAAGAGGCTTTGATTGAGGAGGAGAGAATATTGTGGCCTAGCTGTCGTCCTGTACATCTTGTCAAGATATATATAACTATACTGTATATACACACTGACCCTATTATTGTTTGCATGATCAGCATATTGCCTGTGACTAGAAATATACTGTATGTGTAACATTGTTAAACTATGTATAAAACTGGAGGAACTGAAGTAATTCTATGGTTTTAAAATCATCCAACCCTTTTCCTTTTTCCCCGTCCTTCTAGTTGTTGTTGTTGTTGTTTTTTGTATTGTCCTGTGTTGCTTTAAGGTCAAAATAAAAAATATAATATCAAAAAAAATAAACTATATACACATATACACAAATATGATCTCATTCTCATACTTTTCTCTCTAGGATGAAACACAGTTGTTGTGGTATTCCTCATATAATATAAATAGTATTATAGTATAATGGTAATAAAATATAAATAGTAGTAGATGAATAACTTTAAGTTTAAGCGCTAGAATTACTAAACTATAACTGAAAAAAAAATAAAGCTTACAAAATACAAAGCCATAATCACATAATATTATAGTATACACGTAAATACTACTAAAATAACTCTGCTTTGGATAAAGCATCTGCTGATTGAATAAATGCACGGATGTAGATGTCCTCTCCTGTGTAAGGTATGTGAGGTATTCAGGACAGAATCACAATGGATGTCTTTGTGTCAGGTTTCTGTCCTGAAATACCATGTAATGTAATGAGATCATTTTCCATTTTCTTTCTTTTTTTGTGAGAAATGCAAGAACAAAACATGCCTTTCTGTTTTATTCTGCAAAAGAATTGTCAAAGGAAAGCAGATAGATATGGAGGAAAACTCATATTTTCCCCTAGATGGGTCAGTTTCTGTAAAGTCAGTATGTGAGAGGTTTTTTAGGGTTGGGCCACATTACAAGAAACTTATCCGTTAGAACAAAAGTGAAAGAGAAATCGTCATAGAGAGATGGCAGCAAAATCAACTTTAAATCACATCAAATAATTTATCTTTAATAATAAAAAGCAATCCTAAACAAATAAAACCCTTGTCTCACTAGGTGAAATGCATATTTCTGCATAGCAGAATGTGTTGCTATACAATAGTTATATAGCCTACATACTGTATGTACCAATATATAAAAATAATTCAAACGTTCATACCGATAACAACATCACCAGTGCCTTGTGGTCAGTTGTTTACATTCATATATATATATAAAAACAGACAATACTATGTAAAACTAAATTGTTAAATCACTCATTTTACACAAATTCAAACTCTACACTGGTCCAGTACCAGCGGGAAGGCCTGTGGTGGTGTTGCGCTGATCTTACTGCACATTAAAACAAATAATAAAAATGTTTTGTAGTGCATTGTTAATATCGTAGAATAGTCCAAACAATCACTACACACATGAATACAGTACATGTTCTAGTTGGGTCAATGATGAGCACAGAATCCTATAGGCGTGGTCACATTTACCTTAGCGAAAATTAGCGTGCAAAATCAATGTCATTTCAAAAGAAATCAGCACGACTGGAGTTTGTTGCACAACCACCTTAAAGTTTGTGTTCAGGTTGTTTGTGCAAATTTGCCGCGTTGCCTAAAAGAAAATTACTTTGTTTTAAAGTAATTTCTGTGTGAGCAAAATCGCCTCTGTTGACAGTAAACAAAGGACATTTTTTTTGCCCCGTGAAATTTCGCTGAATTTCCTCTAATGTGACCCCACCATATGAAATGTACTTTGAGATAATGTTTCCAATAAATCGTACTTTGTTATAGAGCTGCAACATCTGTAACATCTTCATATGAACTGCACACATTCATATACTAAAAGGGTACAACCACAGAAATTCTTTAACTTTCTTGCTCACAGGCAGATGTTGAATACTATCTTTCCCAAAACTCCGCACCACAGCTCTTCTCGCCAGTTCTTGCAAGCTCTGCGGCGCTTCTCCGCGATACGGCATACTCAGACTCTTTTTTGGGGATGCAATATAGTATCCTAGCAGGCCAAAAAGGCAAGAGAAAGTATGTTTACTGCCTGCTAAACTGAATCCTCCATCCTTCAGGAGCACCCTCACGCTGGTCGGGCCCTCGGGAGCCCGATAGCTGAGAGTGAAGAAAACATTTGCTTGCATGCTGTCCCGGATCAGGAACGTCCCAAGAGGAAGTTTGGCAAGTCGAGAGTGAGCTTCATCTACTTCCAAGGGACCCCAGTAAAATCCACTGTGGCTCAAGTAATCCACAACCTGGGTGATGAGGTCACACTCCCGCTGGTCTCGAAAGGGGTGAAAGTGTGTTGGTGGGACAGCACAGGATTTAGGGGACTCGGCCAGCTTGGATGGGCCCTGTCGCGCAACTGCATGGTCAGTGTCATTATGCTGGACCATTCTGAATCAGGGCCCACTCATACCATTCCTCCATGGTCCTAAAGCATAGATGAATGATTCTGTGCCGCCTGTTTAAAGAAACAAAGAGTTCTAACATCAAGAGGTGGGAACGGCTCTTGCACGGACACACTCGAGAAAGTCTGTGAGACAGTGCATATGTGCAAGTAAGCACATTGATTTCAAGTGTATTCAGGTTTAATTAAATTCTTCATTACGAAACAGAAAGCCTACCCTTTCTATGCAGATGATGCTCTATGAAGTCAGTGTGGTGTAACTAACATATCCTACAATTGTTGCTATTTGATAAGAAAACCATAAAACAGAGAAGACACCTGTAGACCCTTGTATCATTGTGTCAAATCACTTTTTGAACTCTTATGAAAAGGCACATTTTGTTCAGGTCAAATGGAGTAACATGCACTCTTAAAAATAGAGGTGCTTAAAAGGTTCTTCACAGCAAAGCCATAGAAGAACCATTTTTGGTTCCACAAATAACCATTCAGTCAAAGGTTCTTTAAAGAACCATCTATTTCTCACCTTTTTGAAGAACCTTCTTTCGCCACAAAGAATCTTCTGTGAAACAGAAAGGTTCTGCAGATGTTAAAGGTTCCTTATGGAACCATTTAAACAAAAAGCATTGTGAAGCACCTTTTTTTAAAAGAGTGTATTCGTTTGAAAAATCATGTTTGAAAATCTGATGATTAAAAAGAATGATTATATACAGTGAGGGCTGTGTACTGTATTTTATTGTGCACTTTTACTTGATGGCTATTAGTTACACCACATGTTTTAATCAAAAACGGTACAACAATTTGTAAGAAAAACGAATGAAATCAATATTAATGCAACGATGACATTTAGAAGAAGTTTAGAAAATGTCTCACTTTTCTCTACTCGAAAACTTTGTTACGGTTCAGTGGCAAAGTAGAATGATTTCCCTCACGCGTAGCTAATATAGGCTGCTCTAAAAATCAAGATCCATATCAAAAACATTACAAAAATATAAAAGAAAAATATTTAAATAATTTATATGAATACATTTCATATTTTAAACATATATTTTAAACATAAAAACCATCATAAATAACTAATGGGACGTTTTTGGTTGGCTATATAATTCTTTGAAAGTTTTGATGTTATATGGTCTTTATGGAAATAAGCGTTTAACGGTTAGCACTGGCAAAGCGAAGCCCCCTGCCTTCTCTGAAATACCAGCACATACATGTAGGCTATTCTCGAAAGAACTCCAAGGTATGACATGATATTAAACCGGTTCTCCTGTGCTACAAGTGTAACGATTTCCATTTAACGATTTTTAATGTATGTCACCTACACTTTTAGGAATAGCCTAACCATTAAGCTACATGTATACCGAAAAGGTTTCCATAAAGCGGTGTTTAATCCACGGATAATGTCACGGTGAAATTAAAGGTGAAAGAAACGCCTCCAGTCCGGTTTCAGATGAAAAACCTCTAGCCAGCCGCTTACCGCAAATGCAGTTTGATGTTGTCTAAGCCAAACTTCTCCAGAACTGTGTCAAGATTTCCTGCGATGCGGCATTTTTAGTTGTAACACATCATTCTTCTCTCATAGGCTGACCATTATAAAAAAGCGAAAGCGAAAGCTTAAAAATAAGCAAGGCGGTCTCGCCTCTAGCATATGAATAACTGTGAGAACTCTTCCAAGTACTGTCAGAGTCTGGATGAAGGATATATGTCTCTGTTTATGCACGCGTTATGCCATTTAATGTATTTTATTTACACTACCCTCTGCGTAATCTGCAAAGTGAAATACTAGATTTAGGAATGGGGTTGGATTTTGGCCGCTCTCTCTGCCTCTCTATGTAATAGGCTACCTTCAAAATGCCGAAGATCTTGGGAATTCAGCAAATAATGAACATAAAAAGCTTGTTATAACCAAGCTACTGCAGTTTGTCTTCACGAGTGTGTATTTGAAGTTATTATTTAGCCTGCTGTTTTGAACGCACGTCTGTTTCACTTTCATTTCGGAGGCATGTTTTACTTTAAATCACGTGATCTTCACCAACTCATCTCGTCTTACGACAGGTTAAGAGGTTAAAGGTCTTATCCTGGTTTAATTTGATTAAGACTGTAAACATATGAGCTACATCTACGTGTAATGAAATATTATTTTCAATAGATTTTGACAATTATAGAAATGATAGCCTACTAGGCCTACAGTAAATTCATGTCATCCTCTTCTAGTACAAATCAATAGTTTATAGCATTTTATAGTAAGATTACTATTATTATTATTATCTTTCATACCACTGCAGAAAAATACATAAATATGAACTTAAATGTAAAAGCCTATAAGAATCAGCCATTGAAAAATCCTATATTGATCAACCGTTATTTTGAATATTAAGAGACATGCATCCACCTTGAAGTCTATGATGGTTATGGCCCTGATGCACCCATTAACAAACACTATATGATTTTTACTTATAAGAGAAAAAAATAAAAGGTAACCAATGAAAAATGTTAAAGTGGCCAGTCTTGCACCAGACAACTATTGTATCTGTATAAACAGCAGCATTCACTGAATACATACATAGTTTCGACTTTAAACGGATGTTGTACGATTAACTGTTCTCTCTGTAGATTGCTTCTGACTCTTATAGTAATCAGATGATCTCTAAAAATTGCTGATAAGCTGTATCTCTGAGTGGCAAAGCAGAACGTATACCTGGAATAACTCATCCTACATTAAGTTCAGGTCTTTTTTACATCTTAGAAAACATTCTCAAATCAATTCCGTTTATATCTTTAACAAATATGCTTGTTTGACCCATACTTAGTAATCCATCAATTAAGGATAAATCATATTTTAATCTATTTTAGCTATAATTTGCATGTTTTGTTTGGAGATTTCAGGGAAAAAAAATACCTTGCACTGTATACTGCAGATGAATCCAAAGATGAATTTTCACCTGAAGGACTGAAAGGACCTTTAAGATGATGAGATGAGCCCCAAAATACAAAAAGACCAGAGCTCTTATGCAACTGACATCAACTGCTTGCACATCCACCTAGAGAGAATTTACTACAGTGGAGTAGGATACTGCTCTAACTTTACAGGAAAAAAGATTTACCACATCCCACCATTGGTGCACACAGGTGCTTTTTCATTTCAGTTTCACTTTAGTTGACCCAGGTATAGATCGTATCACATTCAGGTGAAAATATTTGAAAAAAATAGTGACAGTCAGAGAGACATAGTTGATATAACTGTATAGTATAACATCTAAAAGAGGGGGGAAAAATACATTGCATTAAAGAAAATGGGTAGTACTTCAGTCGTTTGTTGATTGATTAGCATAATAATGGAATATTGTAGATTTCACAACAATTATACTTAAACGAAGATTCACTTTCAGAATGACACCTGATCACGATTAACTGACATGATCATCCCGAAACAAAAAGCAGGAAAAAAAAACATATTACAACAGCACTGTTATTTCTGAAATAATTTCTAAACATTTCATTTTACAGGAAAACATCCCCATCTGACCTGCTAGTTTCACTAACCTAAAACCAACAGCTGTTAAAATAACCACACAATTTGCCTTTAGAACACATATCGCAAACGGCTTCCAAGAAACGTACTTGACAATAAGCTTACACTGCACTCTACTGGCAAATCATCAAAAAGACTAAAAACAACAACAACAATGCGCTTAAAAAACATTATAGTCTGCATGAAATTAAAATTCACTTTATCAATATTTTAAATGGATGTTATAGGTTTTATTGTGAACCATACATCCAGGCATGGATGCATTGTTCACATGCAACCGACTATTCTCTTGGTGATGTAAGCAGGACTTCATATGCCTAAATCTTGTCCCTCAAGCTCATGTTCATCTGCATTCACTTATGAGTGCAACCAACATTTACATTTCAACATTCAGTCAACACCTGATTCATAGAACCAAGTCCTCAACCAAGTTACACTCGGATGTACATCACAATATAGAAGAACAGTTCTGTCGCTGCTCCCTATTTATTGTGACTTTAAATTTTTTTTTTAAATGACAATCTGTGTGCATGATAGAAAAAGGAAACATCTGGCCAGTGACATGTAGAAACACGAGCTTCATTAACCATGGTCCACTCATGTAGTGATCATAAATAATTTATTGTATTCTTAACCCCCCTTAACTTTCCATTTGTAGTTTATGAGGATGCAGATGCTGTTTCATGTTCCTCCTTCCTGCTGTGTCTCATCATGTAGATGGCAGCTGTGAGTGCAAGAACACCATATGTGGCAAGAACAAACTGCAAAAGGGAATAAGTGGGGGAAAAATTACACTTTTAGATACAAGTGACGTGAGCGACGATCTTACTGTTGTCTTTGATCATGCAACAATCTGACAGATGATCTTACATTTCTGCATCCTCGTAATGTGTAGCTGTTAAAATGTTTCCTCCATCCTGTCAGTTCTGTTGGGGTTGGTGCATCAATCCCAAAGAGCTGTCTCTGTCAGTATAAAATAACAAGGAATTATGAATAAAACCACGTCCATAAAATGAAACAAAATAATAATAGTTTTAGGTGTTAATATCATACCATGGTTGTACTGAATAAACCTAATTTAGCTACTATTGCATTTCTTAAAATAATGTAGGCTACTCATTACTTTGCCATTTTTATATTTTAAAATGTTTTTTATATATATATTTATTTACTTATTATGACAGCAAGCATGGCTGCTTTATGTTGAATTGTGATTTATTTTAGTAAAGTTATTTGTCTACCTTGACTTCGCTAATAAGATGACCAAAACTTGTAAGCGGAATCCGTGTCTTCACAGGGGAGGTCGGCATGTCTGTAGAAAAAAAAAACTATGTTTTAAACCATACTGCTGCAAATCAAAGCAAAGCACAATGGAAACGATAGCATGTCAGCCTTGAAAAGCATATACACACTAAACAGTTACTGAATCACTCTAAAAATACCGTTTCTACAAAGAACACTGCAGTTGTTTACAGCGGCGGTATTAGTTCCGGAATGTTTCAATGTCAGCTCAGCATCCAATTAAAACTCCCTAACTGAGACGTTGAGCCAATGGCTGCAGACCTGGAGGCGGGACTTTGAGGTGGTTACGCAAGCTAGTTAAAGCGCCCGTGTTTGAATTTATGGTCAAACGTATTAATGTACGTGTGGTAACCGAGGTCAGCCGGAGGAAGTTGTAGAGGCAATGCGGCAATGTATGGGTATCTGTTAACCAGTTTTATTTAACTTCCTTTACTGTGACTTGTTTAAGTTAACTAATTAATGACATAATTGTTAAGGCAGTTTCCTCTGGTCTTCCTCAAGGACACAATGAATGTTTTTTTGTTTTTTTATTTTTTTTATCTCTATTAGCCTACTCTTTTCCAGATCCAGATTATCCTTTTTGCAATGCAGCCTGCAAAATGTGTTGTGGTAGATGATCATTACCCTATTGGCCTTTGCCATTCAGTTTTTGCATGTTTACATAATAAGTGGTGCTCTGAGAGATTTAAATACATACATTTTTTTTATTATTGGTCAAGTAGGATTGGGGTTTTGAACACAAGACATAAAAAGTAATATTTCTTGTTGAGGAGAAGTGTGCTATTATTATATATGTGATCAGACTTTCAGTTTTTGCCTGTAGCAGATCAAATCAGGCTTACTTTAAAGAAATGACCCAAGACATTTCTAGAGACCAGAATATCATTATATGATACACACAGAAAATGTCTTATTTTTAGTATAAACTATACGTGCAAGGTTTCCTTTCTGAACCATTAGTGTAAAACATGTTTAGAAGTGATATTTTATGCATCCAATTTTAACTATTCAAGAGAGTTTTGATGCTTAGTTAATGCTGCATGCACTTCTCTTTTTGACTCAGTCTGCATATTTACACTAAACGTGACTTGTATAAATTTTTCTCTATTTGTATCTGAAATTCAAACACAGAAATACTGTTGTGCCGTCAACAGTTCAAATCAACTGGAGCAGAAATAGCAGAGTAACTTTATATGTCCCAAGTGAATTGAGAAAGTTGTTTATGTCTGATATAGGTTTACTCCTCTTTTCGCCTGTCACTAACTGGTGACACAAGGGAGCTGTCCTCCTTGCAATTTTAGATGAACTTTCATCAGCGCAACTGCTAAGGTCAAAAAGAGAAGGACATTTAATATCATGCCAGAAAAACCCGCTATCAAGATATTTGATCTATAACGCATAAAAGCAAGTAATCAACATAAAACCATAAATATGACAACTCAAAATCCATCTCTAACATTTTCAACATGAAGATCCCAGTATTTTATCACAGGGCTCTTCTCTTTCTTTTATTACTCTTTGTAAAATATTTGCAGTGCCTTGAATTAAAGCTGGTTATGAAAAGCACTGGGTGTGACCTGTAATTACCACAAGATTGATGTAGAGATACTTTATAATAAAATTCACGCCTTGCTTAAAAAAGGCTACTTCCTCTTTTCAAATCATTAATTCGTTTTTTAGTGAAGTGAAACTAAACAGATATCTGAAATAGTTTTACAAAAAACGATTTGCATAAAAGCTGTGTAAGACATTTGAGACAGCCTGAATACTTATTACCCTGAATACTTATTACCTAAATGAAGCATGCAGGTATATGTTCCTGATAAAAGAGACATGATTTTGTAAGTTTCAATGAGGCTATTGAGTTTCACTACCTCCTGTGACTCACACTGTGTTTGCATGTTTGATTTCTGTTTGTTTTCTCCTATTATGACTACGGCCAAACTGCAGTTTGCATAGAAAAGAGGACCAGTCATAATAATGGCAGTCAGGTAATAAAAGTTGACTTCTTCTGTACTTTAATATTCAACATGTTTTAATACTGCAATCATAAACTTGCGATTATACAAAACGTGGTGTAATATTGAGGTATAGACACAGAACGAAATGAAAGTGCATTGATTGACTGACCGTTTTGGATCAGAAATTGAGGACTTCTGTTTTGAGCGTTTCTCCTTTTGTGTATGCTAAATTTATTACTGTGACGCACAGCTGAATTTTCAGCAGCCATATATTTCAGAAATGATTCCATTATGCTGATTTGTTGCTCAAGAAACGATTCTTATTAATGTCAATGTTGAAAACAATTGTGCTGCTTAATATTTTTTTTTGTGGAAGCCATGATACATTTTTTAAGGATTACGTGATAAATAGAAAGTTGAAAAGAACAGCATTTATTTGATATGTTTTTTTTTTATTCTTACATTAATTCTTTTAATTCTTCCATTAATTTTATGGGCATTTCGGTTAACTCTATAAATATACATGCCATGCAGTGCAAAAATTATATACAGGTCAAACACATGTAAAAATCAATACAGTAAATTCCTTCATACTAATACAGTACATTGTGCCCTATTTATTTATTTAAAAAAATCTATTTTTTACAGGATGAGACCCTTGGAAGCAAAGGGGTCCGTAATAATTTAAACTTACAGATTAAGGGGCTGTAATATTATAATGAGATCCCTTTATCACGTCACCAAGGGAGCTAAATCAGACGCGCTCGTTTTCTCAGACACTTGCAGAAAAAGACTAACCTAAACAAAGTGATTGGGTTAATCTTTTTCATGTTTCCTTGGTTGGTAGATGCACCGGGGACCTGCTTATAGCACTTAAAACCTGGAAAAGTCAGATTTACATGATATGTCACCTTTAATTTTGGCCCAAGGCTTTGACTACTCCAGGATATGTAATTGTGATCAGCAATATTTTTGCAACTGTTCATCAAATCATCTCCAACAGGTCCCAAAAGTTCCAGTGAAAGCTCTTGGCCTTGACCTGTCATTCAGTCAAATTGAGTCTATTGACATTAATGATCTCAGCCCATATAGTAAGCTGAAAACCCTGAACTTGCATAAGAACAAGCTCAAGTTTATACACAAGGAGGCTTTCAAATCTCAACATAAGCTGGAAGTTCTTGATCTGTCCTTAAACAATCTAAAAAAAAATCTATCTTCGTCTTGGTTCCACAAGCTAAACTCTCTTCAGCAACTGAACCTTGTAGGAAACCCATACACCACCTTGGGACCTGCTCCCATTTTCCAGTCTCTCCTTAACCTAAGAATGCTGCAATTCGGTAGTCCTTCACTGAGAGAGGTGTACAAGAATGGCTTAGATGGGCTCACTCATCTGGATGAGATGACATTCACTGGCAGTAACCTGAGGTCATATAAGAACGGGAGCTTAAAAGCAGCCCGTCCCATCGGTTTAGTCTCTTTGAGCCTTCAGAGTCTATTTCAGAACGATCCAGAATTAGTCTTATATAAGGTTCTTCAAGACGTCTCCCACCCTAATACTCGGCTGACTATCAAAGATGTTGAACTCAGAACGAACACTTCGACAGAATCCTTTAAAACGGCGAGAGAAGGTGGGACTGAAAGCTTGAGTTTCCATAATTGCACCACAACTGATGAAGCATTGACCTCTTTTTTGATGGTCATGGATAATTCTTTTTTGTCTTGCATTGGTCTTGAAGATGTACATTTTATTGGTCAAGGGTGGTGGCAGAAAGCTTCGTACACACATTATGAAAACTTACATACGGCCCACATACATAATCTCGACATCCAAGGGTTCTTTGAGTTCGGTAGCATGAAGCAGTTGGGATTTCTGCTGGTGAATCTCCACAAGGTGTCCGTGATCAATGGCACAGTGTTTGTTATTCCTCCGATAACTACTGTCCTATTGAAAAAACTTGAATATTTGGACCTTAGTCAGAACCTCCTTTCAGACCTGACAATTGCACCAACGTTATCTACAAGTTTTGGCGCATATCAAAAACTCATCCCTCTTAACGTGAGCCAGAACGTTTTAAAATTCCTTGGGCTGATGTCTCAGTTGACCACTAACATTAAGTTACATCACATATTTAGACTTAAGCCATAATAGTTTTGTTTCTATGCCAGAAAAGTGTAGCTGGCCAGTGACTCTCAGGTTTCTGAACCTTTCCAGCACAAAGCTACGTAAGATGACCCCATGCCTGCCTTCTAGCTTGACGGTCCTGGATCTCAGTGAAAATGATCTGATGGTGTTCAACCAAAGATTTCCCCAACTTATTACGCTAATACTGACAGGCAACCGATTTATAAAACTCCCACAGGAGGAATTATTTCCAAGGCTGCAGACACTGCTTATTCAAAGGAACGCCTTGCGGATGTTTAACAGGAGTGATTTGAAGAGATTCAAAAACCTACAATGTTTGGAAGCAGGTGATAACAATTTTGTGTGCTCCTGCGAGTTTGTATCTTTCTTTAAACAGGATGTTGACCTTTTCACCGTACTAAGGGATAGTCGTCGCAATTACGTGTGCGACACTCCATTCACTCTTAGAGGTGATTCTATTGACAGTGTCAGATTGTCAGTTTTCGAGTAGTTGACAGTAAATTTTTGTTTAAATTGATAGTTTAGTTGTCCTATAAACTTAAATTGGTCATGTTCTTGTTACGCAGCTGAAATCCAAGTTAAAAAAAATGCAGACCCTGTTGTATTTTCTTGAAATTTATTAAAAGAAGGTACACCGCCATCTTGTGCCGACTAAACTGACTTGAACGCACCTAACGTCGTAATTACGACTTGTCAACTCCTAAGTACGAACGTCCCAGGAGGACTTGAACGCAGCATTACAGTCAACATGACGCTGAGTGGGTCGAGGAGATCCTTGTTCCAGAACTAGAGATAGATCCTACATTTGCCCTGTGTTTGCACAAACGGGACTTCCAGCCGGGCCGCTGGATTGTGGACAACATCATCGACTCGATTGAGAAGAGCCATCGGACTCTCTGTTTTGTCTGAGCACTTTGTTACCAGCGAATGGTGCCGTTACGAGCTGGACTTCTCACATTTCCGCATAGTCGATGAACACAATGACTCTGCTGTCCTGGTACTTCTAGAACCAATCAAGAAGGAGACCATTCCCAAGCGTTTCTGCAAGCTGAGGAAGATTATGAACTCCAGGACGTATCTGGAGTGGCCTGAGGAGGAGGAAAAGAGAAGCCAGTTCTGGAGCAATCTGAGAGCTGCTCTACAGAGAGATGAATGTTAATGGCTTGCCAGGTTGTGTGACAAATATAGACTAATCAAAACTGGCCAAGTACCAAAATGCAATGTCTCTATTATGCATTACTTTTATTTGTAGGCCTACTGTATATACAGTGTTGTTGTTAACTAAAAGCAAATTTGAACATTAAAAATATTAATAAATTATGCTATAATAGTATATAAATAAAACAGAACTAACACTGCTGTATAATGTATTTTAACATTTGCAACGTTTAAAACATGTCAATTCCATTAAAAGTGACAATGTGGATAAGAGGGTAACCTTAAATGTAATATTTACAAAGTGTCAAAATGCAATGCCTGTCAGCTGAAGCTTTAGCGGGTTGCTTGGATAATACCAATTCAGATGTGCCTGCTTTTACTTCATACGTAGGCCCATTGTGCTTGCCAGACTATTTCACATGACATGTTCAGAGCACTAACAGCACTGTGAATGCATATGGATTGAGGTACAATATTAGCACAACAAATATTAACTTATGTGTTATCAGTAGAATGTGTTTGTGTAATGTGAGATGTGACAATGGGAAGTTATCTATAATGTTATTTACAACTGTAATGACTGACTGTTTATCACCAGTATGATTTCACAATGAGTTCAGCCCCTTTTCTGTCACATATAAGCAAATAACATTAGATTGAATCAAATGCTAATGTATGTGACAATAGCAATAATGAACTGTTATAAAATCACAAACAATTTTACTCTTCTGGTAACTTTCTTTTGTTCATATCCTATTATATTAGACTTATTCTTTCGTTTTTAGCATGTTGTCTGTACATCCTGCAGACTTCTCACTTTTTAAAGGAGACTTTAGGTCTATTTTGATAGTCTTGATATTATTGCAAACGATCTGGTTTTAGATCTCTTTTCTCCAGAAATCACATGATACTGACAACTTTTAAATAGTATTTTATTACTTTGGCGCCACCTGTTGGATGTTTTTAGATTTTTAATTGATTAATTTGACACAGTAGGCTATGTAATTTCAGTATGTGAGCTCATAACTGATCAGTGAAAGTAGTGGTGAGGTAATGAAGGCCACATCAGAGTTGTTGTTTTTTTTTTTTTCACCTGTTATTCCTCTAATGTTCCCACAATATAACATTCATGTTCTCATAATGAAACCTAAACCAAGCATGTAATTTTGTGCAATGAATTGACAGTGTAGTATCTTGTACCAGTGTGGAGTTCAGCAGATGGTGGATGACTGTATCAAATGCTTTTGTTGCCAATGCAAATGATTCAAAGAAAAGGGTTTTGGTACAGTGCTGATATGCATATTGTTGTCAAAGCATAAACTGTAAACTTTGACCGAATATTGCACGTTTTAAAGGGGTCATATGATGCGTTTTTAAAGATCATTATTTTGTTGTGGGGGCGTGTTAGAACGAGCCGTTTTAGGGGGGCGTGGCAGAGTCTTAACTTCGATAAAGAATATCTCTTTGGTTTTGAGACTTTAGTCTTTGCAACTTCAGGGATCTTATCTATGCACAATCAGCTTGTAACACTCCAAAGAGAAAGGAAAACTTGAAATCGCATCATATGACCCCTTTAATAATGTAATCACAGACTGAGTCCTTATAAATAACCTGACTGGTGACCCACCAGTGGGTTCATCACAAGCTGATTAGTGAGCATACTGCTTGAGCATTTTATTTCTTGGCTCCTGAAGTACTCTCTACAGACAAAATACTATTTAAAAGTTGTCAGTATCATGTGATTTCTGGAAAAAAAAAAAAGATCTAAAAACAGATAATTTGCAATAATATCAAGACTATCAAACTAGACCTAAAGTCTCCTTTAAAAAGTCTCCTTTATAACATTTAACAATGATCACATCTGTCAGGTTGGATGATGTGAGGACAAGCCTCAATGATGAGATCTTTTGTGTTTGTTAGTAAACTCAGATCTCTTTTATGAGCCCTTGGTCAGTATCTGATCATCAATTGCATCAAGACAGAATGAAGAATATATAATATATACACAGAAATTTACACAGAAAATGGCATGAGAATATTCAGAAGACAACTAGTCAGTCATCTGATATTAAATATGTCTCTGTGGGTCAATTCTCGGATGTGGGTCAGTTAATCGTTTTAAGGTTTAATATGTTGTGGCAAATCGTCTGCTAAATGGCAGAATTAATTCAAATTAAAAGAGGAATTTTTTTGTTGCCACAAATAAAGAACAAGTGGGAGGTCTGAATGTTCCTCATTCAGTCATTTTATGCTTTGCTCTTGAACAGTAATTGCAAGGACAGTCCCCTTGGTGGTGCCTGGGGTTAAGTGTCTTTCTCAAGGGCACAATGGTGATTTTCGTGAACCCTTATTCATGGGTCACCGCTACTGGGGTTTGAATCAGTTCAGATCATAGACCACTACGCTTCAACCACAATGTTTGCATCAGATGCTGCTGGAAAGAGAACCGAAACATTTTCTGAGAAAAATAAAAGCTTAAAAGAATTGCTACTCTTTAAAAATAAACCTTTTTAAAGTGCAAGTGAAAGTACAAGGTTAAAAAAAAAAGTAATCAGTTTAAAAGCCAAACGAAGAGCAACTGTTCTCAGGAATGAAAATACTCTTCCATAGAAACTAAACAAGTTACCACCCCTTCTGCACATATTATGAGGTGATTTATATACACAGGCACACAAAGCTATGAGCTACTGTTATTTTTTAATAGAAAATTACAGGTTTGAGTGCCAACATTTTTCTGAAGCAATTTGTTTCCAACATGACAGTTAAAAAAAAAAGATTCTTGAGATGGCTTTTAGGGCTTTTCAGAATTGCCACATACAGTCTGATCCATTTTGAGAGCCCTTTAAAAAAAACTGGTCTCTAAATAACTTATAAGGTTTCTTGGGGTTTCATCATGGCTGCAGAACCTTTGTGCACGACGGAATCCTTAAGTTCCTGCAAGAAGTTTAAAGACTGTCCTCCAGTCTATCATGAGGGAAAAGGTGTTTGAGGCAGCTAATATATATACTGAAGTTTAAGTTTAATTTGTGACTGAAGTATGGGGACAAAGATATTAAAGTAACTTACGTACAGTGTTTATCTAAAACTAGTTTAATGAATCGGAAGGGTAATTTAGGCCAGCATTAGTGTGTAAAGAACAGCTCAAATATATATTGGGACAAAAAAATATTTTATGTAAACAAAACTGGATTTTTCATGCCTGGTTTAATACATATATACTTTTGTATGAGATCATTTAAAGGAATTTTAATAAATTACAGAACTGGTGTCACCTAACTCAGCAGGTTCTCTGGGTAAATAAAAATAATTCACACAAGTAAAATTCACAAAAATAAATAAATAACAATTCAAACTTGAAATGTCATGGCTGCCCAGACTGGGAGGGCTGTAACACTACTTTCATAAGTATTTCTCAACCCACAAAGACTGCACAAAATGGGACAGTCTATAAGCTGACATGACATAATTGCACAAGTGCATGCACTCACACAATGTCAGTTATGTTTTTAGAGTCGTTGCCTCATGTTTTATGTCTTAGTTCTATATATTTTATTCAGTGTTAATTGCTGTTTTGAATTAAAATGTTTTGTATATGTGTAACATTTCAAATGAATATGTTTCACATGAATTTAGGTAAAAATGGAGGGTGATAGAGCAACTATTTTTGTCTTTTTTAAGGAAATTTGATTATGACAGTAAATCCATCCATCCAAATTTGTCCATGTTTTCTGTTATAATGTTACAAGTCACAACAGTTGTGGGGTTATAACAACAGCGCTTCTTGTAGCTACTTGATGTTTATGATGATGATGTTTACACAATTTTGAGAAAAGCAGTAAACTTATAAAGCACATTTATGCATTTAGCAGAAGCTTTCATCCAAACCAACTTATTCAAGATTTATACTTTACCAGTTCCTGCATTATTTGGTAATCGAACCCATTACCTTATAGTAATTAGTGGCATGCATGCTCTACTTTTTAAACAGATATGCCTAAAACAAAATACAAAAATACTACAGTATAGCCTATTAAAATACTACAAACATATTAAAATAGTACCGTTTCAACTGTACACTGAATAATAATTAAATCTCCACACAGTGAGGGTAACAACACAACATGTGATGCCCACGTAGCACAATTTCAATGTTAATATTATGTTAAGCGTCTTGGCGGAAAGCTACCATGGTAAATGTTTGCAATGCGCCAAATCAACAAGTGTTGTGCATCTGGCGCTCGTTCAGTCACCCTTCTAATTACGGTTTCCTCGGAAATTCTTTTTGGACGGATTTCTCAATCGGGCTGCGCTACCAAAATGTTTTTCTCAACCGCAATAGTCATTCAAAACGGCTGCACGAAGGGGGCGTGGTTACAGTATCATTGACACTGACTGAAGCACCGCTGCTCGCGACAACAGTCAGCTGGGGAGAGGCAGGCGATTGCGCGCGCGCGTGCCGACCAACCGGGAAGCGAAGCGCAAGCCGAGCAAGACCCCGTACAACGGCGCAGGCTACAAGTCGAGGAGATTTCTACCCACTACATCCATTCCGTCCCCATCATGGCCGACCCAGCGGCTGCGGAGGGCGCGGGGGGCGCGCGAGGCTTCGCCAGGCAGGGCGCGCTGAGGCAGAAGAACGTGCACGAAGTGAAGAACCACAAGTTCATCGCGCGCTTCTTCAAACAACCGACCTTCTGCAGCCACTGCACCGACTTCATCTGGTGAGTATGCTGGAGGACGCAAAGGTGTTGTTGTATGTAAACGGCCGCGAAGGGCACAGGTGACTCACTTGATGCTCGTGACAGGAAAAACACCAAAGCGTTTGAACGCTCTCAGACATCCGCAGTGCTGTCAACGCTGAACAAAGACGCCGAGCGCAGACGGAAAAAACAAGCGACAAGCGCAGCGAGTCCAGCGCAATGCTGCACCTCTACAAGATGTTTAGATTGCAGTGTGCTTGTGTGTTTATGCAATTACAGCACGTTTATTTAGGCTCTTCTCTTGCTGTAGTAAGGATAAATTTTAACTGGCTATCACGAGAAATCCCTCTCGTTATGATTAAGCCATCATCATCATCATCCTAGAGATGTTTTTGGCGATTTTGCGGAATATGGCGCGCCTGCGCGTCTTGCTGCTGAGTGCAGAGGAATGCATCCAGATTTGGTTTCCGTGCTGTAATCTCTCACCCAGTCTTGTCTCTTTTGCAGGGGTTTCGGCAAGCAAGGCTTCCAGTGTCAAGGTAAGACTCTTTGGCCCCCTAGAGACATTTGAGTCTGTGCATTTTCAATGACTGCAACTGTTTATTTTCTGTTACATGACAGCTGCTTGCCTTTTGAACGCAAGCGGTGTTGCAAACATGGTTGCATTGTTCTTTCATTTCATTTGCTTGTGTTTGAGGAAGAAATACAGAGAAGCCTTTTGGTTTTCTAGTGGCTAGTTGAAGAAATTAAGAGTGACAGTTGTTGTTAGTTGTCACAGCCAACACACACAGCAGTTTGTAACTATTTTACAATTCACAATTTATTTTGTATGATCTTCTTACGCCTCCCTGGCTCTTATGCTTACTATTTCTTCCATATGGATCACATCATACAAATTAATGTGAAAATAGTTACGTCACAGCTTATTCGCCACTGAATATTTCCTTGGGTAGTTTGCTTCTGTCTAGGCACATACCTTAAAGTTTCAGCCGCAGCTGCACATTTATGCCATTATTTCCATTCCATACAAAAGCGCTGCTAGAGAAAAGCATTTGTAATTGAATGGAACTTTTGTCTCTTAACTTGGCATCACTGAGTATAGCCCTTGGTGACAACTTCCCCATGTGAACTACAAAGTGAACATTCAGATATGAAATACAGTATTCAGGCACTGTTGCCATGAATGTCAAAGCCCAAACTGCCATTAAACTGGCATTTGGCAGCATTATCCTTAACACATCACCTCCTACTCAGATCATTAATGGGCTGTTAAAAACGCATCATCCACAATTACTACATTGCAGTGCTACTTTAATAAGATAGCAAATACATAGTAGGAGAAACCAGGGCTAGTCGTCATACATTTTACAATGTTTTTCACTGAAGTCAACTTTAAAAGCATTCAGATGACAAACTTACATCAGCCACTGGCGTAATGAACTGTTTTGCCTATAGGTGAAATTACTTATGGACTAGGAAATTAGTCTTAAGGTAACTTTCAAATCAAGATTCCCCACCTGTCAGAAAAAAAGGAAACCTGGAAATCATGTTGTGTATTTTCTCCATCTTTTGCATGGAAAGGAGTATTTTCAGCAAATCTTTCAGTTAAAATCGTAAATTGCTCCAAGTTTTAAATATGTGTTTCCAAAACATTTGGCTCACCGATATGTGAATAATCTTTGATATTTAAGTAGTGACATTGGCTAAGCATTACAGTACAATTAATACACCGAAATTGTCATCTGCGTGTTTTAGCACAATGAGTTCTGTACAAATGGACTGCTTGGCTTGTCAGCGGATATAACGCCTCGTTCCCATGTTTCCTGCCTCCACATGGTCTTCAACAAATTCTACATTTATGGAATTGATTAACATATTTTATCACATATAGAGCAGCATCTCTCTTCCATGGCTCTTTATCTTTGCAATCTCTAATATTGTGTTCTGTAGTGAATTAGTTTTTTGATAGTTCATCCCTCTGGCCTCATCTAATGTATATGAAAGCCTGCCAATATTAAATCTTTGCTCTGTTTTATCATCTAATGCCATTTTGTAGAGTATGTTGGCATGATACCATTTTTAAATAATTGCTGTAATGCATAGTCATACAAAAACTCCATCCATTTTGGCAGTTTTTATGTTTACCAAGCAGAAAGGCATATTGACTCTGTTGATATATTTATAGTACTCTGCGAGGGCCAGACGGGTCTGTTGCTGATGCAGCGATATGTTAACAGTTAATGTTGATCATTTACTTGACACGCACACTTACAAATGCAAGCGTAAAAGAAATAAAGACTGATTAATCAAAGCATAGATCAGGCCTCCATCTTGCTCATGTTGCAAATGTGCAGACTAAACAGAGAACAGCCTGCTTTTCCCAAAATTACATTTGTGTATTAACAAAATAATCAATATCAATCATTTAGTCATTCATGTGGGCATTTACCTGTAGTTCATTTTTAAAGGCACTGTGAAACCAAAATGGGAGATTTGTAGCTTTTAGTCCATTTCTGCTTCGATACCACCATTGTACTACTAAAAATTGAACAAATCAACCTTTTTAATGGGAAATACTCCAACAAAGGGCAGAAGCAATGTTCGTCTAGCGATTTCATGGGTTCTTTAAATTCCTAATGCAAATATGAATAGGTACATTTACATAAACATTTACAAGACTAATTTTAGTTTCACATCTCATACTTGTCTCTTTTATTTTTCTTGTAAGTGTTTATAATGGGTAGAAGTGAAAAATAGAAGGTATGAGAGGAGGTCAGAGCTGTGTGTCCCTGACCTGCTTCAGGTAACAAAGAGATGTGTCTGATACCAGCACAACAGCTATTTATACCATTTAATTTTACTGGCAAATACTTGCAGACTGAGAATGAGGCGAAGAGAGTGAGGTGGTGCATAGAGATGAAAATGCAAACAAGAGGTTGAAGTGAAGGCTACTGTTCAGTAAACCCAACCCATTTTTGAAATTGTACAAAATGCTTGTATTAATGACATTGTTAAAGCTACAGCCAAATATAATGCTTTTTATGATGCCATCACATTACTAATTCGTTCATTAACGTCACTGATCTTTCTACCACTGCAAAACATGTACTTGTTGTGCTCCTGCGTGCATGTAAATCTATAAACCCAAGCAGGCAGGTTCTTATTAAATTACACAGGCCTGAACAAGATGGAACCGTGCCAAAATGTGATGTTTGAAAAAGTAACAGTAGCTGTCATTGTTTTTAATGTACATTATGATTCTTATCATTTTTATGTAAGCTTACTACACTGAAAGTATATGCGTATACTTGGAGTGGAGTAAAAAACTGTCTGATAAGTAAAAGATCCATGAGCTAAAAACCAAGAAATTTCTTTAAAAATGTGGTCTTAAAAAGTCTTAATTCACCTTTCCACAATTTAAGACCTTAAAAAGGTTTTTAATCAGAACAGCAAGTCCTAAATTCATTATGTCATGGCATTAAAGGTTGCATGCATTGCAAAAAAATGAATGTCTTCCTTTAGTATTTTTTATTTTTGCTTTCCGTTACAAATATCTAAACATGATCCTTAAATCAAAATGCATTTACTTGAGACGCAATTCACGCAAATGTAAAATGAAGGCTTGAACAAAATTAAGTGAGTTTATGCTTATAACAAGAACAAATATCTGTCAGTGAGCTAACTGGTTTTCCATTTTAATTAAGTTGATTTTGCGGAGCCCACTGTTAGATATTTGTTTTTATTTTAATCAAAAACAGTGTTTTGATCAGTTTCACTATAAACATGACTGTTTATGTCATTTCCATATTCTAGTGGTTGGGAACAGAGGTATTCAAGCCTTAAGTTTTTTGTAAAATGAGTTAAAAGAAAATGGAGATCATAATGGCTGGAAGTTGTTTCTTCAAACTTTGAAATCTGATACAACTCATTGCTTGCTTCCTAGACATTTACATTTAGAAAACATATTGTGTTCCCTTCAATTCATTCAGTAAATTGTCTTTACTTTAATTGTCTTTAAAAAAGGATGCATTATTGGTATTAGTGTTTTCCTGTGCAAAATTCACAACAGTGAGTGGTTGCCAGGGTTCTGCTATGTGGTTGCTAAGGTGTTCTGAGTGTTTTTTTTAAACATGTGTTTGCTTACTAGCTCAAGTCTAAATAGCCCATCCCGTGAAGTCTCTATAATGTCCTGGTCTCTTTTTATGGCTTGGGTTCCTCCTTCAGTTCACTCATTTGTCTAATGAAGCTTGTCAGATCAGAAAACAAATTGCCACTCAACAGACAATGACTGTGAAGTAACATTTAGTTTACAGTAATGTGCACGACTTCTACACTAATGGAACACTGGATGCAGTGTTTGGAAATGTTATGATAGTGACTGCATGGACTCTGTGCTTGCTTGGAGAGTTTTAAAGGGACAGACAAACTGATAGCAGGCCTTTGCTACAGAACCCCATCATCGCTGACTGCATGAACCTTCTGAATCACACATCTGTAATGACTGGAGGGCAACAATTGAACGCAAAGATATAATTAATAAGGACCTTGACTCTAATTAAGATGCATAGCTGTGGGATTTAAGAGATTCCATAATGAATGTGTGTAAAGGCCTAGTTTTGCCATTTGGTTTGTGTTCAGTGTAATTCCTTTTATTAGTAGTGACTGCTAGGAAGAGCATCACTGAGCATTTGAACAAAACCTTGCCACTAAAGTTAAGGGTTCTCAATACATTTCAAAGCTGATTTTAAGCACAGTTTTGTTTATTGTTGTATGATGTTGGATTTGATACCCAATGTCAAATCTGTCTTGTAGAAAACTAGTGCCTAAATGATCAACTTGCATTTTCACGCTCGTAGCATCATAAACAAACCCATTATGTAAATATTGAATATATTATATGCAGAAAAGAATACTGGAACACTCTGATCCCATTTTAATCACTGAAGCTGTCACTGCAAGTTTTACACGTGTTTCAAGCAACCGTTTGAGCTTCACAAGCAGAGTTATGGACTCCTGCAAATGCTCACATTATAATCAGTGAAGCTGTCTACATTGCAGTAAATCTTATTTACTCTGCATCCACTCCTTGCAGATTTTTTTTTTTATTTGGTCATGAATCCAAAATAATCTTTTCAGTATTAAAGCTTCTGGTGTCAGGTGATGCTCTTCAGCACTCATTTTCCCGTGCAACTTCAATCACTTTATTGAATAATTGTGCAGCTGTGCTTGTATTTAATGTAGTCTAGGTCGTATTTTATTAACGTGCATAGTTTTCAAAACTGAGAGCATGTCACGCAATCAGTTCATCATGTTCAGATGTAACTAATTTGGCTTTCTTCTACCAAACGACAGGTGATTTTGCACCAACATACATTAGAGTTTGGTTCAATTTAATGTGTAGCCTTTGACATCAACAAGAAAAGATACGGGAAGCTGTTCTCTTCCCTTTTAAACATTGCCTGCTTATTTTTTATCCTAACAATACATAATCATATGGTTGAGTTAATTGCATTCTGTTACTTACATATAGAATTTTATT